CATACTGGGAGAAAAACACCGTGATTCTGGAATAATTTGACAGAAAAAAAACCCTCTCATTATTTCTGATTCCCTTTCATTTTTTTGCTGAAACAGCTTTAATTGCTACTTTGAACTTAAAGCAATCCATCCAATTAAAAGCACTTACATCCCCATAAAGCCAGAACTGGGAACCTGATTGACAGAAATGTATAAAATGCTTTTGCTTCACAACAGGAGATATGAAAGGGGAAAAAAAATCTGTAATTCTACAAAAAAAAACATTTGTGTGAAATAGTTTAATTAAGAGCATTTTATACAGTGAGTCATAATTTACATATCTTTAGATGACAACAGTCAATCAAAGAGATTTTGAACTCAGTGTCAGATATATTATTATTAATGATGTTGCTTAGGTAACCGTTCACATCTGAAACATACACAACACACTGAGCATCACAATAAAATTGAAAATTACTGTGGTAGAATACAAAGAGTGCAAATTATATTGACTTCCTCTTTTAAATGTTTAACACCTGGCTCATAGTTTTTGATTTTTGGGGCTATTTTATTTATTTCAAGATTTCTCTTCTTGTCTCATACTGACAGTAATTTCACAGCTACTTCACTCAAATGATCAACTATCATGTGTGACCTTCCGAGAACACATGAGGAAGGTAGAAGGAGATAGAAAGTTATCTGACACCCAATCCAAGCCTGTCCTCACTCAAAAATGGGACAGAGCTTTAATTTTCTAGTTCAAGAGCATAAAAAAAAATATAGCGCCCCAATTGCTGCACCAAATCAGTCACACTATCAAATGGTTTTGAGGCCTCCTGTCATTTCTTCAATTAGGCAGTTTATAGTTGCTATGAATTGTGGTTCTTGCCTTAGATATTCCTTTGTGGGTTTAGTAATTCTAATCACTCCCATAAAAAGTCTCTTCCAATTAGGACTGCACTTAAATATTCATTACCTTAACCACATGACAGCATAACCCAGGGAGGTAACCCTTTTAATTTGAACATTTGTAATGGCACATTCTTCAACAAGCCTGAAGTAGTCATATTCATGTTAGAAAACAACAATTTCTATTTTAAAAACAAAGGGTGACTTACAACCTGAAACAATCAGGCCCTGAGCTACCCAGCAATAGACCATAGCAGACCAACCAACAGGCTTAACACAGCAATAAGGCAATTATGAATGTGTTAACACTCCTGTATCTCTTATTTCTGTTCTTATTCTGTATCAAATCTGATAGAATCTGAAACTGAGGAACTGTCCTCTTACATTAAATGACAAAGGTCATCATAAACTCTCAGACCTTCACTTGTGAGCTACATCTTTTAAAGCTGACTAATCATTTCTTCATGACGGCTGCCTGGATTCTTTCTCAGTTATTCAGGTACTGCCAGTATACTTCAGCCCTTTGAACATAAATCTTGAGAACAGCAAGCTCTGCAACATTAGACTCTATCTTACCAGAAGGATTGGCATGAAAACAAATATGGCAGGGTCTCTTTGTCATTCCTGAACTTTTGAATTGGCAAGATCATTCAGCAGTGTCCTGATTGTGGTCACCAGGTAACAAGTCAAATGCTTGAGGAGATTTTCTTTTTAAATCAGCCTGTTCAGATGTGTTTTAAAAAGTGAGACCTTCTGGCTCAGAGGTAGGGACTCTAGCACTGCAGCACAAGTGTTCTCAAATGCCTGCATAAAACTATCAATTTCATCTGCTTTAAAATTTGGAATAAGATTTGATTTAACAAAATGGTGGGTCCTTGGCTTCCCAGATGGAAAAAAAATAAAAATTGCAAATGACACATACTGGTCAGACTTGACTTGTAAACTTCAAAATGGACCTCCAGTACATTCATTTCTAAATACTACTGTGTTTTTAAAACCGTTCTGTTTTGCACTGGGTTCATTGAGTTCACTTATCAGACTTGAGGCTGCTGCATGCTCTCTGCCAGTTCAATATCATGGAGATGCTTATTTGCCTTCTCATGGGCCTCAGTATTCATAATGTTCCCTCTCTTCTTCCTTCTTCCTGCTTTAAGTTCTTCAAACTTTAATTGAAATTCTTGTTCTTTTAGTCAATCTCAAATTTTGCCTCTCTTCAGATGGTTGAAACTTTAAGATAATTTCTATTTCATTCACCTCTAAATTTTAATGATGTTAATAGCCTGTACCACAAGTTTTATTCAGTATCAATGCCATCTATTGTTGGAGAAAGGGATTACAAGATCTCGGGTACAGTGATGCTATCAATGCATGCGAGCAGCCTAAATACCTTATACTTATAAAAGAGCCCAGACTGCCCAACAACTAAATATTGGGATGCTTTAATTCAACAGTAACAATCAAAGCTACTTAATTCAAGTCAAACTACATATGTAGCTTTCAAATCTCACCATGGCTTTTTGCCTCCCTATCTCTGTAATCTTCTCCAACTTTACAACCCTCCTAAAAATCTAACATCTAAATCTAGCTTCTTGTGCATCCTAATCAACATTGCATCATCACTAGTGACTGTACCTTCAGTTGTCTAGGGCCCAAGTTCTGGAATTCCCTCGCTACACATCTTCACCTCTCTACATTAATTTCCTGCCTTGCAACACTTCTTTAAACCTACATTTTCAACCAAGCCTCAGGTGGTCTGACTTACATCTCTTTAAATGGACTCGCTGATATATTTGGTTTAATAATTCAGTTATGAAGCACCTCAGAATGTTTCAGTGCATTATAAGTGCTATATAAATTTCTTGTTGTTACCCAATACAGCTATCATTTCGCACCCTAAAGAAGTTTGGTAACAGAACATGTACTAAACAAATATCACTGTGACAGGAGAAACTGTGCAATAAGTGGGTTACATCCCTGACCTACAATGTTTACATTAAAATAAAGTGTTCTGAGAAGCAGTAAGTGAGAACTTCAGGATTGAACAGCAAGATGATGAGTGGTGGGCAGATATAGAAATGAGATGGTGAGTGGGAGCATAACGGGTGTACGTGTGTGTGTGTGTGTGTGTGTGTGTGTGCGTGTGCGTATGAGTGCGTGTGTGTGTAGATGTGTGTGTGTGTGCAGACACACTGCGGGCCAGGGACTTAAAGCACTGAGCATGTGAGATGATGAATGGGGAGCCAGGGGAGTAGACCTTGTAAGTGGGAGATGTGGTGAGCAGAATGGTCAACAACTGGGAATCTCAGTGAGTCAGAAAAGGTCACAATTCAGAAGAAGAAGCAAGCAGGATGGTTAGAGAGTAGACACAAGTGAACAGGAGAGATGATGAGCAAATGTGTCATTAGCAGGAGGGCCAACAAGGAAGAAGAGGTGAGGATTTGGCAGAGACAAGAAACAGGAGGGTTAGGCATCTCATTAAGCATTGAGTCAGGAGGGTCAAGGAAGGAAGTGATGAAGCGACAGCTCATGTTTAAAAAAAGACTGAGCAAGCTCTGAAATAAAGTACAAATGGTAGCACTGTTTTTGGGGAACATCTTTAATTTTCTAACCATCCTAAGGCAAAGGGCTGTGTTTGTTGTCACACAACTGAAAGGTGCACAAGACCACATATACAAACCTTGCCATTGAAAGCTAATGTTTCTGATTAACAATGCATGCCTTGTGCTCAATTTCAATCAGACCTATAGGGACACAACGTAAAATTATTAGATTGCTTATGTTGTAAAGAAAGTGTATGGGCTTCCCATGCTTGGGTAAGCAGGGCAATGAAGAGAGTGGTGAGTAGGCCAGTAAAGGGTGAAGAAGATAAAGTGGTGAGCAAAGGGAGCAGTGAATGGGATGGCAAGGGGAGCAGAGACTGGGCAGTGAGGGGAGCATTCATTCAAAACCTTACTAATGTTCTTCTATCCAATGTTTGAAGTCTAGAAAACCCTGAAAACATGCACTGTTGGCATAGACTTTCAATGCTTATTGATTTAATTTAATTCTGGGGTCATGGAATCTTTCGTGAGTAGGGCCCAGGTAAAGTGCAATGTTTTCAAAACCAGCATGAAAGTTTACAGAAATCCAGTAAGCACAAAATTTGGGCTTAAAATTGCTCAATCCTTTGTGCCAGGTACCCTGATATCAGCTTAAGTACACTGAAAAATTGCAATGCATTTGAGCAGAAAATCTACGCCACAATTTTTAGTGAGTGTGTTCCTTTCACGCTAACCTTTCTGCAGAAACAATAAAATAATCAGCCAGCCAAATTTGAAGAGCTTTGTCAATTCTAAAACCCTAAAAACTAAAACAAAATTGTCATTTCCAAAGCATAGATGTAGAGATTCATCTTGGGTGGTAATATAATAAAGACAGTGTTCCCTGGCTGCCTGTCGTATTCTCCTCCAGATATTCAGTGGTACAAAGTGTTGCATGTCAGTGGGTATATCAGAGGCAGCCAATACACTAACACCAGTGTTAAGCTACAAGGTGAATTTTTATCCCATTGTGAGGAGGCATACTATTCGACTGATCATTCTTGACCAAAAGGACATTTCCAAATTCTAAACTACTACACATTACATTATCTGCCAGTGTCTCTGCAGCCAATATAATACAGGCTCAGAAGGAGTGCTTGGTAAAAGTATAAAACTATATGGTGGTTTAACCAGAAAATTTTAATTAAGAAAACTTGGTGCTCTTGTTCACACCGAACCCCCATCTCCCATTCATCTTCCTTACCCAATAACACATCAAATGATTTTCCCTTCATGGTCGATGCTGCCTCCCTCAAGCAGCAGGGACAAAGCGTACAGAATCACCTACTTCCACAGCAACACAGTCAAAATGACTTTATTGATTCACCAACAAAGAGGTGGGCTTGCTGCAAGGAAAATGAAGTACGTAAAAATGTTTTCCTGCCTGTCAGGTAGAGTAATCTGCCTTCATTTCCAGCAGGAAGAAAAAAATTGCAGGAGACAAAGTACTGTTTCAAATTGGCACTCAAACAACACTCGCCAATAAAAGGAAATAAACATTTTCAGTTTCTGATTGTTCAGGAGGGGCCTTACTGTATAGAAATATGCTTGCATTGGCGATCCCCAGCTTGTTGCCTGCCACACATGTGTAGTTGCCATAGTGATCCTCTGTGGCATTAGTGACAATGAGACTGGAGCGACTGTCCAAGTTCTGGATCTGGATCCCTTGCGAGCTGTTATATATCCTGACACAAGTAGAAAGAATAAAAATAGGCACACGTTACTCATCCAAGTCTATTGTGAAAGGAGTAGCTCTTCTTGACAGCTTAACCACTTTATATTCTAGAGTCCTATGTCTAGTTGTCTGAAATATTGAGAATGCTACCATATTTTCATACATAAATTGTCCGTGGAAAAAGTACAAAATACATATTTTTCTGTGACAACGTATCTGATGTGAATGGGTAAATTAGTGTGGAGTATACATCTTGCAACAATCCTTTCTTTAAAGTAGGTTGGTTTTACCATATTCAAACAACTCAGATCCTTTTAGCAGATTTAATTACTTTATGAAACATAATGACTCTTGCAATGGGGTCAATATTCTCATACTGTAATATTTATAATGTTAAGGCACAGCAGATGAGCAAATACAGTTGATATGGAGTATAAAAGCTGGCTGAGGCAGGAAACGTGAATAATCTAGACATTAAAATAGGCAGTAAGGGTTTGTAGATTACGGTTCAAGTGCCAGTCTGAGGCAAAGGGAAATAATGGGAAAATAAACAAACACATCAGTATACATGGTCAGTGAAGTAAATGCCTGAAGACTCAGTAACCAAACACTTATGAATTAAGTTGAAGGCTTGAACGTCATGGTGGACAGTGACTATGATCTCATAAGCATTGGTTCAAAAGTAGCAAGGGCTTGTTTAACAATAGCAAGGGTTGGGAATACAATGAGAAACAAATTACTTTAGAGAGACAAAATGCAAACAGAGAAACAGGTTATTTTATTTATTGCTTATAATAGATACAGATCTTTTCTGTACATATGAAAATATGGCATAAAATCTGTAAAAAGAAAGGAGAGGCATAAGAGATTTAAATAAAGGCATATACTATTCGACAGATTAGGAGGAGACACTGAACTATGAACTTGACAGTAAAAGAAGGGAGCCACAATGCAATTGCTGTGAATAATTTAGATGCCTATCAGAGGTACAGTAAGAAATTTTTAGAAGATGCTGTAGGAGAAAAACATGTTCAGTGAAGAAAGGATGAGATTCAGGATACAATTTACCTGATGTGAAGTAAAAACAAGGAAATAGTGGACCAAGTTTTTGAAGTTATTTTTACTATAAATTTGGCAAACAGCAAAACAATACACCCTTGCCATTTTGTTTTGAATAAGCTACTGTATCAGGATAATTTTCTCATTAAAATATTCAGTTACTAATGTCTGTCTTCTTGGCAGGTCCTCTAAGATCATTTCAAAGCATCAATAGGCTTGGCACAATGTTTAACTCTAGTGTGAAATATACATGAGGTTATCTTTGCTTCTTTAATTTTTATCGACTCTTGTGTGAAACTTCCCCAGTTGATCTTTAGATGTTATGTCTTGCTGCAACACTCACCGCTTGTCTTCCTTGTACCACTCAAAAACTGCTGGTGGCACAGCTGAAACCTCACAGTGCAGCATCCCAGTACGGCCCACTGCAACGTCTGCACTCTGAGCATACTTAATAGTGGGAGCATCTGAAAAACAATACAAATTCACATCAGGAAACCAGCACTGAAAAAATTGATTACCATGCTACAATGCAATTTTGCCATGCTTTGCCAAATAATGCAGTAATTCTAATCATTTGATTGTACAAATTAAGTGCAGGAAGAGAACATTCAGTTCCTTGAGTTTCTGGAATTCAGTAAGGCGATGGGTGCTCATGGCAAGGGGCTAGTATTGGTTGCGAATACTGTTGTCAGTGTTATGGAAAGTATTCAGTTTACACGACCTCAAGACAACTAGGAATGAACAATAAATGTTTGCCTTGCCAACAATGCTCACAGAGTCATAATAGTTTGCTGAAGATTATTGTATTCAGAAGCTCTTAATTTATGCATTTTAATATTGGCCAACATTTTTAAATGTATTACCATTTCCAATAAATTGGCAGAAAAAACAGAATATCATATGAATGTGTGAAACCTTCATCATTCATGTTGTCAGAAGGAATTTCTCAGTTTAAGAGGAAAGATCTTACTCTTGTTTCCTGGCAGAGGAACATGATCCCTTAAATACCTACATACACATTGGAAAAGCCCAGCCATGAATTTCTAAGGATTTGGGAAATGCTGGTCTAGTGGTAAGGTCTCTGGGTTAGTAATCTATGGGCCCTGCCAATGGTAGCCCGGTGGCTTAGTTTTTAGCACTGCTGGCTCACTGCGCCAGGGACCCAGGTTCAATTGCATATTTTCCCCGTGTCTGTGTGGGTTTACTCCAGGTGCTCCAGTTTCCTCCCATAGTCCAAAGATTTGCAGGTTAGGTGGATTTGCCGTGGTAAATGTGGGACTGTGCATATAGGGGCGTGTAGATTTGGGTGGGCTGCTCTTTGGAGGGTTCAAAGTAGACTCGATGGGCCGCATGGCCTGTTTCCACACTGTAGGAATTGTATGAAATGCTGTGGGAATTATGAATTCATCTCCCAACGCACAGCTGATGGGATAATTCTGATATGTAAGGCTAGTGTCACCAATGGTGACCATGACAACTATCATCAATTATTGTAAAAATTCACCTGATTTACAAATGTCCTTCAGAGAAGAAAATCTGCCATTCTGCTCTTGCCTATGTGTCATTGCAATACATAACAATGTGGCTGACACTTCACTGCCCTCTGAAATGGCCTAACAAGCAACTCAGTTAATTTACAATCGGGGAGGATCAAATCCTGCCAGCATGCCCATATCTCATTAACAAACAAGGAAAACAGAAAATCACTGGCTGGAAGTACACTATTTCCGGATGTACATTCTTTTGCTGGTACATGTTCTGTGGGGAATATGGAACTTGATATCTCCCCTGCAAACTTGAAATGGCACTGAAAGAAATTTCTTGACAATTACTCAGCAGGCATTACTTATTGAATTTAGCCTGGGATAGACTTCCAAATTTATTGTCAAAATTCTGTAAAGATCCAAATTCTGACAGTCTCAGTGCCAATGATGCTGCATTTTGAACATGGGACCTATACTTCCCACCTCCAATTTTTCACACAAGGAATAAGATGGAGTTAATTGTTAAGTAATTGATACTTTGATCAAAAAATTAACAAGTGTTCACTCGACTTATCCCGTTCTATTTAAAATGCTTAATTTGTCTCATTGTCCTCATGTATCTGATTGTCTGTATAATGTTTTCATTAGTCAGCTGGCTTAACGAGCTGCTCACCAGTCAGTGACATTTGTAACAACAACAACTTTCAATAATGTGGAGGCTTCTAGAAACAATTATCCTGGATTGAATTAGTAGTCAAATGGAAAAAAAAGTGCATTGATTAGGAAGAGTTAGATGCATTGATGAAGATTTCATGCCTGATTAACTTGCTGGATTTTTTGAAGAGATAAGAGAAAGACTTGATGAGGGTATTACTGTTGACATGGATTACACAAATTTTCAGAAGATGTTTGATATAGTGCCACCGAACAGATTTGTGAGGAAAATTATTGACCATGAAATAAAAAAGGTCAGTTGCAACATGGATACAAAATTTGCTGAATGATTAAAAACCAAGAATAATGGTCAATGGATACTTTTTGGGCTGGAGGAAGGTTTGTAGTAGAGTTCCTCAGAGGTAAGTATTGGGACCCTTGCTTTTCCCTGATATATAAATGATCTAGATTTTGGTGTGCAAGAAACAATTTCAAAGTTTGCATACGAGACAAAACTTGCGGCAATTCTAAACTTTGAGGACAGGATAGAACTCCAAAAGGATACAGATGTGTTGGTAGAGTGGGTAGACAGGTGGCAGATGAGGGACACAGCAAGGAAATGTGAGATGATGCAATATGGGAGGAAGAACACTGAAAGACGAAATGAAACAGGGCATCCAAATCCCAAGGAGGTGCAGGAGCAGAGGAACTTGGCTGCACACGTGCACAGATCATTGAAAGTGGCAGGATAGGTGGGTAGAGTAGATAATGATGCATACAGTATCCTTGGTTTTATTAAGAGGGTGTGGAGTACAAGAGCAGAAGGTGATGTCAACCTTGTGTAAGGCACTTGTTAGACCTCATCTGAAGTACTGTGTGCTTATCTGAGCAAAACATTACAGGAAGGAATGTGAGCATGTTGAAGAGATCACAGAAGTGATTTACAAGAATGGTTCCAGGGATGAGGAACTTCAGGCTGTAGACATGCTCACCGCGCCAGTGGGTTTGGTTGCAAACTTTTCACTACCCTGCGAGGTAACATTGTCAGTGCATATCCGGTGAAGAGTCAGAGTTCTGTCCCGTTTGTTATTTATATGCATCTGTTTGCTGGGGTGGTTGGTATTATTTCTGGTTTTGTTTCTCAGTGGTTTGTACACAGGGTCTAATTCAATGTGTTTGTTGATGGAGTTCTGGTTGGAACACCAGGCCTTCAGGAATTCACTGGCATGTCTCTGTTTGGCTTGTACGATTATCAATGTGTTGTCCCAGTCGAATTTGTGTCCCTCATTGTCCGTGTGTAGTGAGACAAGTGAGAATTGGTCGTGTCTCTTGGTGGCTAGTTGGTGTTTATGTATCCATTTGTCAATTTTCTTCTGCTTTGGCCTATGTAGTGTTTCTCACAGTCCTTGCATGGTATTTTGTATATTACCCCAGTTTTGCTGGTTTTGGGTGTGGGGTCCTTTGCGTTCATTAGTAGCTGTCGTAGGGTGGTTGTCGGTTTGTGGGCTACCCTGATACTTAGGACTCTGAAATGTCCTTGTTGTATGGTAGAGTGATTAATGAGCCTGGTCGTGTTGTGTCTTCCTGTTGTCGTCTGTCTCGGAGCTAATGGCGGATTATGCTTTTCAGGTATCCATTTCTTTTGAAGACTCTGTATAAGTACTCCGATTCTGCTTTGTGTAGTTCCGGGTTGCTGCAATGTATTGTGGCTCGTTTAAGTAGTGTCCTGATGCAGCTCCATTTGTGAGCGTTGGGATGTTTGCTAGTGTAATTGAGTATTTGTTCCTTATGTGTGGTCTTTCTATATACGCTAGTCTGGAGTTCCTCGTTGTTTTTGCGTTCTACCATTATTTCCAGGAAGGGTAGTTGGTTTTTGTTCTCTTCTTCTTTTATGAATTTTATCCCGGTAAGGATGTTGTTTATGTGTCAGTAGGTTTCTTCTACTTTTGAGCATTTAATAATCATGATGGTGTCAGCTACATATCAAACCCAAAGTTTGGGTTGTATAGTGGGAAACACTGTCCTTCTAACCTTTGCATTACTGCTTCACAATCAGTCCTGATATTGGGGATCCCATTGGTGTTCCATTGATTTGTTTGTATGTGTCGTTGAAGGTGAAGTGGGTTGTGAGGCACAGATCCAGCAGTTTCATGGTGGTGTCCTTACTGATGTTGTTGGTGTCCTGGGTTGCCTGCTTACTTGCCTCGTCCAGCAGTGTGGCAATTGTCTCTTTGGCTATGTCAATGTTTACGGATGTAAATAGTGCTGTTATGTCGAAGGGTATCATCATCTTGTCCTCATCTATCCTGGTGTCCTTGATGATGTTGAGGAATTCTTGGGATGAGTGGATGGAGTGGGTAGTGTTGTCCACTAAGTATTTCAATTTCTTTTGTAGTTCTTTGGCAAGTATACATGTTGGCGTGCCTGGCAGTGAGACAATGGGTCTGAGGGGGACCCCCAGTTTGTGTACCTTGGAGAGTCCGTAGAATCGGGGTGTGTCGGATCCCTCTGGATTCATTTTTTGGCAGTCTGTCTCGTTGATGTCTCCTGAATTGTGTAATTTCTTCAGGGTCGTTGTAATCTGGTTTCCTAAATATGGTGTCGGGTCTGTTGCCATCTGTTGGTAGGTGTCGGTATCTGTTAGTAGTGCATTAGCTTTCTCGATGGATTGGGTTCTATTGAGGACGACTGTCATGCGTCCTTTGTTCGTTGGTAAGATTACAATGTTCCTGTCTTTCTTGAGTCTTTCCAGGCCTTTCCTCTCTTCTGTGTTGAATATGTCCCACTTTCCTTTTTTGCTCAGTGTTGGGACTGTCATCGGTCTGATGGTCTTTAGTGTTGGTTCCAGCGCAGCCAGGAAGTCAGTATTTATGGCGTCCCTGTAGTTATAATTCAGTCCACGTACGAGGACGGTCTTCTCAGTGTCTGTAAGTGGTAGTCCGAGATGTTTTTAATCCATGAATCTGTGTGGTTCGTGTTGTTGATGTGGCTGATTTTGGACAGTTTTTTCTTGAATGGCTATTCTTTTCTTTGTTCTGGTCTTTTGTTGTTGTATGCTGATGGCTTGTTCCAGTGAAGATGTCCATTCCTGGTCAGTTGTATTGGGGTACAGAGTTTTTTGGTGTGCAATTTCCTGCTCACATTTGTGGAGGCAGTTGTGGGCATCATTGGTCATAACCCTGATCATTCTGAGTAGCCCACAAATCGACAACTACCCTACGACGGCTACTGACGAACGTAAAGGATCCCACACCCAAAACCAGCAAAACTGAGGTAATATACAAAATACCATGCAAGGACTGTGAGAAACACTACGTAAGCCAAAC